AATTCTACGTAGTAATATCTCTTGAAAGCCTGGTACTTTAATTTCTTAAAAAGTCTTATGTAAGAGATTTGGGAATGCATAATTATTTCCATCTGTATAATTACTGACAGAATTGTGGGACTCACTATAGAGCTAAGTATGTAATTCCAACATATTCCCATGACTACATAAGGGTTGCCAGTAAAAACTGTGGAAAATGGTCTTACAACATTCAATATTACACACAAATCAGAACATCATGAGTGACAAAATTGGTTTTTTTGAAACATTTTATTTATTTATTTATTTGAGAGAGAGAGAGAGAGAGAAAGAGAAAAACAGATTCCCCGCTGAGCAGGAACCTGGATATGGGACTTGCTTGATCCCAGGACTCTGGGATCATGACCTGAGCAGAAGGCAGATGCTTAACTGACTGAGCCAACCAGGCGCCCCCCATGAGTGACAAAATTCGATGACACAAGTTATATGGAGGATATTTATAAACTTTCTTTTTTTTAAAAAAAAAATGTAGCTTTTGAGGGCAATCATTGCAACTAATGTTACAAGGGAAGGAAAAGACCCAGAAAGAGGAAGACAGTAAGAAGGAATAGAGAGAGGTGTGTTCACATTGATGTTGTTACAAATTCACTTAAAGGGAAAAAAAAAAAAAAAGACATTTAGGAACATGGAACATGGGTAATTTTGCACAAATGTGGTTGAAATAATGCAGGCTTTGGAGCCATACAGACTTGGTTTGAATCTTAGGCTTATTACTTATTATCTTTCTGACTGTGGCAAGTTACTTAACCTCTGAGCTTAGCTTAGTCACCTGAAAACTGAAGAATGCTTACTCAGAAAACTGCCATCTATCTTACATGATAAAAGAAAACCATTCGTACCAAGTACATGCAACTTTTTCTTCTCCTAATAATTATTAATGTATTAAAAGATAATCACTGCAACTGACCTTCCCAATACAACCTACTGGATATATTCAGAACTGTTTGCAAACACCTATATTCTTTCCATTATGCAAGTCGATCTCGAAATAAAGAGACATCACCTACTCAGAAATATTACAGAAATTAGGACTCAGAGGTAGAAAACCACAGTCATGGAAGGGAGTATAAACAAAGTGATGTGAATTCAAGGAGAATGCAATGAGCGCTCTCCAATGATGCCTCAGACCTAGTGGTTCTAGAGTTTTATCAGCAGAGTCCTGGAATAATAACAGGATGGAAAACAGTGGAGTTATCCTGTCAGCAACTGACATACTATTCTCATGCATACTAAATATGCAGAGTAGGTTCTGGGATCAGATGACTGTATAGGTTCAAAACCTAGACCTAGGGATCCCTGGGTGGTGCAGCGGTTTGGCGCCTGCCTTTGGCCCAGAGCGCGATCCTGAAGACTGGGGATGGAATCCCATGTTGGGCTCCCAGTGCATGGAGCCTGCTTCTCCCTCTGCCTGTGTCTCTGCCTCTCTCTCTCTCTCTGTGACTATCATAAATATATAAAAATAAAATAAAAAAAACAACCTAGACCTAATACTTTTCAGTTGTATGTCAAATTACTTAGCTTAATCTCTCATCTGTTAACATGGATAATGATTGGGGATGCCTGTGTGGCTCAGTGGCGGAATGTCTGCCTTTGGCTCAGGTTGTGATCCCAGTGCCTTGGGATCGAGTCCTGCATCAGGCTCCCTACAGGGAGCCTGCTTCTTCCTCTGCCTATGTCTCTCATGAATAAATAAAATCTTTAAAAACAAAAACCAAAGAAAATATGGATAATGATTGTTATCACTACAGAGTCATGATGAACATTTGATGAGCTTATCATTGACAGGGCTTAGTTTTGAACAGTATCAGGATATATTTGGCACTAATTCACATGCCCCTTGCCTTTTAGGACATGCTTTCTGGGTTCTCCTTCTGCTTCTCTGGTCATTCCTTACTCTCCAAAGCCACACAACCCCAGGGCACAACTCAAGAAGTCCTAGCAGAAAACAGCTGCCAAAAGACTTAGAGCCAGATAGAGATATCAGAGGTCATGCAGGGTTGGAGTCTGGCCTTACCCACGTTAATACCCAGGAAATATTATGCCCAGGTATAAAGACAATACTTGAGGAGTAAGAGACAGGAATAAGAAACTCTAGAAATAAATGTGAAACTGAAACAAAGCCTAAACTCCTTTTGACAGGATCAAGTTGATCTGGAGCAATTTGGTTTTTAGAGGAACCCTCAGTGATGGATCATCCACAATTTCTAGCATACAATAAAAATTACTAGATGTACAAAACAAGACCAAGTGTCTATAATCAAGATAAAATAATAAAAGCAAACACAAGTGAAAAAGGACTTCAAAATAACTGTAATGAATATATCAAAGAGAAAAAGATGCATGAAAGAGGTAATATGGAATATTTCGACAGTTATAATCAATAAAAAAAGAATCAAATGGGGCACCGAGGTGGTTCAGTGGTTGAGCATCTGTCTCTGGCTCAGCTCTTGGGGTCCCAGGATTGAGTCCCACATCAGGCTCCCCACAGGGAGCCTGCTTCTCCCTCTGCCTATTCTCTGCCTCTCTCTGTGTGTCTCTCATGAATAAATAATTTTTTTTTTTTAAAGGAGGTTTCATATGACCTGGCCATCCACTACCTCCCTGGGTATCTTATGACTCTCCAATGTAATCATTCCTTTCCTTCCTTGCTGTCCCTTGAATACATGTGGCAAAATCTTGCAGTAGTTCCTCTGCCTGGAATGTTCTTCTCCAATGTGTCTCTCTGGGCACCTTATTTAAAAATCATAGCCCACTTGCCATCAACTTGTACACCCAAATCCCTATGCCATCTAAGCCCTTAGATTCCTAATGACCAAATCATTCCTTATTTTTTCCTGTTGCACTTTCACCTTCTAATATAATCTGCTTCTTCTGTTCAATACTCATTGTCTGTCTCCACCAGATAAAAAGTTATCTCTGGGGACACCTGGGTGGCTCAGCAGTTGAGCACCTGCCTTTGGCCTATGGCATGATTCTGAAATCCTGGGGTTGAGTCCCATGTCAGGCTCCCTACATGAAGCCTGCTTCTCTCTCTGCCTATGTCTCTGCCTCTCTCTGTCTCTCATGAACAAACAAACAAACAAACAAACAAATAATTTCTGAAAGGATAACTTTTGTTAATTGTTGCAAATTAAGTTCCATTTCATGTCCTCCATCTAATATAGTTTTCTCTATTTACCTTTGGAACTGTTTTTGATGTGTGATAGAGTAGTACTATAGTACAGAGTTAAAAAACACTCTGGAACCAGATAGCATGGATCTGCAAGTAACAGAATTCCATATATATGTATGTTATTTATATCCCATATTTATATATATATTATTCTGCTGTCCCTATATATGGGATTTATATATATATTCTGTTTTATATATATATATTTACATATATAACTTGCAGAATGTAGGCAAACAGCTAAATTGCTGTTTTTGTTACTAATCAATAATTTTAATTTGTTACCGATTAATCTATATATAATCAAATAGTAATGATAAACCAATTGTATGGTGTTCATACAGGTTCTAAGCATTTCCCATATTAATGCATTTAATCCTTCTTTTTTTTCCCCAAGATTTTATTCATTTACTTAACAGAGAGAGAGAGAGAATAAGCAGGGGGAATAGTAGAGGTCCTCTGCTGAGCAGGAAGCCCGATGCCAGGCTCAACCCCAGGACCCTGGAATCACGACCTGAGCTGAAGGCAGATACTTAATTTACTGAGCCACCCAGGTGCCCACATTTAATCCTTCTATCAACCTAATGAAAACCAAGGCACCGAAAGATTAATTTGTACTAAGACATACAGCTAGTATGTGACACAGCAGGATTAAATCTATGTTGAGTTCCAATGAAAAGAAATGTTTAGATGAGACAAAATAATTCTTAAAATAATAATAATAATAATAATAATAATAATAATAATAAATGAACTAAATATAACAAATTTATGTCTGCTTAAAAAACAAAACAAAACTTTTCTATAAGCACTAAAGACGTAAGTGTAGATATTAGGATATGTCACTAGGTGATGCTCTTTGTTAAATTTCTCTCCTGAGAAGGTAATCTGAGTTATGACTCATTCAGATGGGAATATAATCATTTAGTTGGCTCTTTAGCCACAAAATTTACCTTGTCCAGAAAATAAGGTTAAATGCAAAAAGGTGAGCCACACAAATTTATGGGAAACTTTCTGTAAGACTGTAAGCTTAGAATATTGAAACTTTCCCAGCATGAACACAGTTATCTCTCTCTGTTTATCTTTCTCCATCTATATGTCCATTTTCCTTAATGTTTTGATAAGATTTTATATATATATATATATTTTTATTTTTATTTATTTATGATAGTCACACACACACTGAGAGAGAGGCAGAGACATAGGCAGAGGGAGAAGCAGGCTCCAGGTACCGGGAGCCGGACGTGGGATTCGATCCCGGGTCTCCAGGATCGCGCCCTGGGCCAAAGGCAGGCACCAAACCGCTGTGCCACCCAGGGATCCCAAGATTGTATATTTTTAAACAAAAAATCTGATTAAAAACGGGTAGAGGGTTTGAATAGACATTTTTCCAAAGATGACATATAGGTGGCCAAGTGACACGTGAAAGGATGCTCGCTTGACATCACTAATCATCAGGAAAATGTAAATCAAAACCACAATGAGCAATCATCTCACACTTCATCACAATGGCCACTCTCAGAAAGAAGAAATAGCAAATACTGGTGAGGATGTGGAGAAAAGGGAACCCTTGTGTATTGTTCATGGGAATGTCAGTTGGTGCAACCACTATGGTAAACAGTATGAAGTTTCCTCAAAAACATTTCTTTAAAAATAGAAATACTGGGCAGCCCAGGTGACTCAGTGGTTTAGCGCCGCCTTCAGTCCAGGGCGTGATCCTGGAGACAGGGGATCGAGTCCCACGTGGAGCTCCCTGCCTGGAGCCTGCTTCTCCCTCTGCCTGTGTCTCTGCCTCCCCCCCTCTTTGTGTCTCTCATGAATAAATAAATAAATTCAAAAAAATAAATAAAAAAAATAAAAATAGAAATACTGTATGATCCAGCAATCCCATCCCCTGGGAATTTACCCAAAGGAAACAAAAACACTACTTTGAAAAGATATATGCAGCCCTATGTTTATTGCAGCATTACTTACAATAGCCTAGATATGGAAGCAATGTAAGTGTCCATCCATCCATAGATGAAAGGATAAAAAGATGTGGTACATATATGTGTGTGTATATGCATAAATATACATATAAATTATAAATTAATAAGATAAAAGCATACATTGCACACTTATCAAACTGATAGAAATTTAAAGATCAAGTGTTAGAAAGGATACAGAGCACGTAATATGTTGCTGTGGGAAAAGGAGATAACAATTCCTCTGGAAAGATAGCGTGGCATTATACAGTAATTCTGAAGATGCATATGCATATGGCTGGATGGCCTGTACTACTGCTAGATATATATCTAATAGAAATGTGTACCAAGAAAAGAGACATATGTACCAAGAAACACATGTAACAACGCTCATAGGAGTATTCTTTGCACTAGGAAAATCTTAAGATAACTCAAATATCCCTCAACATTAAAGAGGATAAATAAATCGTGATATGTAAAGACAATGGAATAAAACACAGTAACATAAAATGAACAAATTGGAGCTCTTACAACAACATGGATCAATCTCACAAACAATAAAATAGAGATATAAAATAACATGCATGGTATAAGTCTGTTCATATAAAGTTCGAAACCAGTGTTTGCCACTTATTTTCAAATGGTTCAGTAAATATGTATCTATATCAATCTCTTGAGATACAATGAAAATCATGTAGCAAATCAATTCTGAATCTAGATGAAGAATATACTATATATACAAGTATATACATTGTACTATTTTGCTGTTTTCTTTAGGTTTGAGATATTTCAAAATAGAAAGAAAAAAGATTAAAAATCAGATAAGCTCATTTTTATTGTTTAAAAGTAGTTTCTTCATCTGAATGACAGATGTATGACTTTCCTTTATAATTATTTATTAAACTATGCATATGAATTTTATTCATTTTTTCCTGTATGTATATTTTGCAAAGGAAGGGAGGTAAAAAACAATCAGGTATGTAAAAATACGTTTTTCTTTTTTTAAAGATTTTATTGATTTGTTCATGAGAGACACAGAGAGAGAGGCAGAGACAGAGGCAGAGACAGAAGGAGGCTCCATGCAGGGAGCCCAATGTGGGCCTTGATCCCGGGTCTCCAGGATCACGCCCTGGGCTGAAGGCAGATGCCAAACCGCTGAGCCACCCAGGCATCCCTGTAAAAATACTTTGAAAGAAAAGCTGTATACACTTGTTAAACATTATTATTAAAAAAATAATGAGATTTTTATAACAAGCAAACTTATAAGTAAGTGGGCTTTGTTATGTGGACCATTTATTTGAGGTCAATCTATGAAAAGATATTTAATGAGGACGAATTTTTGAGGCTAGCACCAGTAATATCATCTGATTTTTCCATGAGATAGTATATTATTTAGATAGTATTAATGAGATAGTATTATAGTATTGTAACAACCAACAATTCTGAATCTTGTTTAGTTTGGTATCAGATAATATACTCTTCTAAATAATTCCCATATGCAATATGATATATTTTTTAAAATTATATTTATTCACTCATAAGAGAGAGAGAGAGAGAAAGAGTGAGGCAGAGACACAGGCAGAGGGAGAAGCAGGCTCCACACAGGGAGCCCGACGTGGGACTTGATCCCGGGTCTCCAGGATCAGGCCCTGGGCTGAAGGTGGCACCAAACCACTGAGCCACCAGGGCTGCCCGCAATATGATATCTTAATACTCATTTTGGCAGATAATCCAGTATCTGCTACTTAAAATTTATTATAATTAACTTTGGATGAAAGTATTTAATTATCCAAGTATCATGCATAATTTAAATTGTCCATGTATGAATTTTGCTTGTTTTCCATAGGTTTTTGCTATTTATCTCACTAGGATTTCACAGTATTTTTGTGTAAAACTCTCAAAAGTCAAAAGTTCTTCAGAATTTCATGTTTTCAAACTGACTTTTAAAATATTAATCTACTTGATTATCTTTTGGGTCATCTAAATCAATATCAAAATCTAAGTCATCATCACTTTCTTCATTTCTTCTACAACTTCTATGGTTGGAATGTAGATTAATTTCAGGATTTTCTGTCTTTTCTGGTTCCTTATTAAACCTAAAAATAAAAAGTTAAAAAAATTTATCTTTATTTCTCAGGCTTTCATTATTTAACTGCAGATTGAAAAGAACTTTATAGTACATTTCCTGATTAACAGAGTCTAATAAAATTAGTACAGAGAAAAAGATCCTTGAAGGTTAACATCAGTCAAGATCCAATCAATTATAACACTGTAGTCAATAAAGTAGGCTCAAAGAAATTAATACGTGATGTCCATTAAAGTAAAGTAGTTGCATAATGAGTAAATTCTTCTTGGATGAGTGATGAATGTGAACCTCATGGTTAAATATTTTAATTTCCTACAGATATATATTTATTTTTACTGGAATGATAGAAAAATGTAACAAATAATTAGGACTTTTTCCTGGTAGGTAGAAAAAAGAAGTCTAAATAGGTTGTGATACACACTACCTACCATAAGACTCTCAGCGCTACTAGATGTTTTCTTAAAAGAAAATTCTACACATTAAAAAACACTTACTAAAAGAGTAAATTCCAAACATTAAAAAAAAAAATACTCACGGAATAACAATGTCTTCTTTCTTTCCACATTTTGCACAAACTTCAAGTTCACAGGCACATGGTCTACATATTATGTGATAAGAATCCTTTACTGATTTTTGTAAACATTTAACACTGAAAGTGGGAAAAAAAATCAAGTATTATTTTTATCTAATTACCTAAGATTTATTTGATGAAATAAGGGGGTATAGCTAAATATACAAGTGAAAATCCTAAAAATCAGAACTCTTATATTTCAATCTCAGTTACTTCTGTCAATTTAGATCGATTATATAGCATCTCTAACAGCTGATATTACAAAATATTAGTACTTGAAAATTATCTTTTTTTTCAAATTTTAAGTAAGCTCTAGACCCAACGTGGGGCTTGAACTCATGACTTCGAGATCAAGAGTCACATGCTCCACCGAATGAGTCAGGCAAGCACTCCAGATTTATCTACTTTCTTAAAGCTTTTAAAAATGTCATCTGCAAATACTGACAGTCTTACTTCTTCCTTTCTTATTTGGATCTCTTTTATTTCTTTTTCTTGCCTAATTACCCTGGCTGACTTTCAGTAATATGTTGAATCAAAGTGACAAGAATGGGCGTCCTTGTCTTGTTCCTGATCTTAGAGGAAAAGCTTCCAGCTGTTTATTGTTGAGTATAATGCTAGCTATGGGCTTGTCATATATGGCTTTTATTATGTTGAGGTATGTTCCCTCTTTACCCTATTTTGAGAGTTTTTATCATTAAAAAATGTTGAATTTTTTTGTCTAATGCTTTTTTGTATCTATTGAGATGATCAAATTATTTTTATCCTTTATTTTGTTAATGTAGTGCATCACATTGATTGGCAGATATTAAACTATCCTTGTATCCCTGGAATAAATCATACTTGATCATGTTGTATGATACTTTTCATGTATTGTTGAATTTGGTTTGCTAATATTTTGTTGAGGATTTTTGTGTCTATGTGCATCAGGCACACAGGCCAGTAATTTTCTTTTCTTCTAGCATCCTCGTCTGGTTTTGGTATCAGGGTGATGTAAGCCTCATAAAATGAGTGTGGCAGTGCTCCCTTCTTTTCTACATTTTGGAATAGTTTGAGAAGAATTGGTATTAATTCTTTAATATATATATGGTCAATTAATTTACAACAAAGGAGCCAAGGACAAATAATATGGAAAGAACAATCTCTTCAATAAATAGTGCTGGGAAAACTGGACAGCCACATATAAAAGAATGAAACTAAAAAAAAAAAAAAAGAGAGAGAGAGAGAATGAAACTGAGCCCTATCTTACACCATACACAAAAATTCACTCAAAATGGGTTAAAGACTTGAATGTAAGACCTGAAACTATAAAATTCCTAGAAGAAAACATGGGCAATAAACTCCTTGATAAAGGTCTTAGCAATAATTTTTTGGATTTAAGATTAAAAGTAGGGCGCCTGGGTGGCTCAGTTGGTTAAATATCTGCCTTCAGTCCAGGTCAATGATCCCAGGGTCCTGGAATAGAGTACTGCATCAGACTCCCTGCTCAGTGAGAGTTTGCTTCTCCCTCTGTCCCTCCTCATGCATTCTCTCTCTCTCTCTCTCTCTCTCTCTCTCTCTCTCTCTCTCTCTCCTGAATAAATAAATAAATTATTTTTATTTTTTTTAATTATTTTTTAAAAAAAGAAAAAAGAATAAAAGTAAAGCAGCAAAATTAAAAATAAGTGGCACATCAAACTAAAAAGCTTCTGCCCAGCAAAGGAAACTATCAACAAAATGAAAAGGTAACCTACTAAGTAGGAGAAAATACTTATAAATCATACACAGTATCTGAGAAAGAATTAATATCCAAAATATAACGAACTCACACAACTCAATAGCAAAACCACAAACAGTCTGATTATAAATGGGAAGAGAGGGTAGCCCAGGTGGCTCAGCGGTTTAGCCCCACCTTCAGTCCAGGGCCTGATCATGGAGACCTGGGATTGATTCCCGCATCAGGCTCCCTGCATGGAGCCTGCTTCTCCCTCTGCCTGTGTCTCTGCCTCTGTGTGTGTGTGTGTGTGTCTCTCATGAATAAATAAATAAAATTTAAAAAAAAATAAATGGGAAGAGAATCTCAACAGACACTTTTCTAGAAAAGACATACAGATGGCCAACAGGTATGAAAAAAAATGTACATCATTAATTACCAGGGAAATGCAGATCAAAACCACAATGAGATATCTCCCCATACATGTTAGAATGGCTGTTCTCAAAAAGACAAGAAATAAGCATTATTGAGGATATGGAGAAAAAGGGAACCCTTGTGCAATGTTGGTAGGAATGTAAATTAGTGTAGCCACTATATAAAAGAATATGGAAGTTCCTAAAAAAAAACAATACTAGAAATTCTATATGATCTACTAACTTCATTTCTGGGTATTTATTTGCAGAAAATAAAAACACTAACTCACAAACATGGACGCACCCCATGTTACCTGCAGAATTATTTGTAATAGTCAAAAAATGGAAACAACCTACAGGCACCTGGCTGGCTGTCAGCAGAGTAGGCAATTCTTAATCTTGAGTTCATGAGTTTGAGCCCCACTTTGGGCATAGAGATTACTTAAATAAATAAATAAATAAATAAATAAATAAATAAATAAATAGATAAATAAAGTGTCTACTGATAGACGAATGAAGAAAATGAGTAAAATATACAATGGAATATTATGCAGACATTAAAAAGAAGGAAATTAAAAGGTATAAACTTCCAGTTATAAAATAAATAAAGTCATGGATAGCATAATAACTACAGTTTTGTTTTGTTTTAAAGATTTTATTTATTCATGAAAGACACCAAAAGAGAGGCAGAGACATGGGCAGAGGGAGAAGCAGGCTCCCTATGGGGAGCCTGATGCAGGACTTAATCCCAGAAACCCCAGAATCACAACAAAATAAGATATGTAAATGGCCAATAAGCACACGAAAAGATGTTCCACATCATTAGACACCAGGGAAAAGCAAATCAAAACTTTAATGACATATTACCTCACAGCACTAGAATGACTATTACCATAAAGAAAGACAATAACAGGTATCAGTAATAATAATGTGGAGGGATGCCTGGGTGGCTCAGTGGTTGAGCATCTGCCTTTGGCTCAAGTCGTGACCCTGGGGTTCTGGGATCGAGTCCCACACATTGGGCTCCCTGCAGGGTGGCCTGCTTCTCCCTTTATTATTAATTTTTTTTTAAGATTTTTAAAATTTATTCATGAGAGACACACAGAGAGAGGCAGAGACATAGGCAGAAGGAGAAGCAGATTCCCTGTGGGGTCCTCCATCCCAGGACCCTGGGATCACAACCTGAGTCAAAGCCAGATGCTCAACCACAGACCCACCCAGGTGCCCCCTTCATAAGGCTTTTTGTAAAAAGTCAAACCTAAGAAAAACTTGGAATGAGAGACCCAAGATAGCAGAAATTCACTTTAAACATAGACATGTGGGCAGCCCCGGTGGCTCAGCAGTTTAGCGCTGCCTTCGGCCCAGGGTGTGATTCTGGAGACCTGGGATTGAGTCCCACATCGGGCTCCCTGCATGGTGCCTGCTTTTCTCCCTCTGCCTGTGTCTCTGCCTTTCTCTCTCTCTCTCTGTGTGTGTCTCTCATGAGTAAATAAATAAAATCTTTTTAAAAAAATAAACATAGACATGTAGTTAAAAGTAGGACAAGGGAAAAAAAAACATGCAAACACTAATCAACAGAAAGCTAGAGTCACTATGTTATCATCAAAATATACTTTAAAAAAAATTTTCCGGTATAAAAAAGAGTTATTACATGACAATAAAGGGATCAATTTTCCAAAAACACTGAAAAATCCTAAGTGTTTATGCACCTAACAATTGGGTGTTAAAATAAATGAGGCAAAGTTATTGATAAAAAGAGAAGTAGAAAAATCCACAAGTACTGTTAAGGACTTTAACACTTCTCTCTCTGTAACTGATGGAACAAGTATACAAAAAGTCAATAAAGATACTGATTGGTTGATAGAACGCTGTCAAATTTACAGAACACTCCAACCCAACAAGAGCAATATATTCTCTTCAAGTACACATGGAGCATTCCATAAGACAGACCATATCATGAGCCATAAAACCAACCTCAACAAATTAAAAAAAGATTTTTAACCTGAAATTTGTTTTTTTACCATAGTGAAATTAAGTAGAAATCAATAAAAACAAAAATATCTGGAAAATGCCCTAATATCTAGAAAAAAAACACTCCTGGATGACCTACAGGTCAAAAAGGAAATCACAGGGAAAATCAGAAAATATTTTGCCTGGGAGCGCCTGGGTGGCTCAGTCAGCTATGCCTCTAACTCTTGATTTCAGCTCAGGGTATGATCTCAGGGTCCTGGAATTAAGCCCCACATTGGGTTCCCTGCTAAGCAGGGAATTTGCTTCTCCCTCCCCCTTTGTCTCCCCCACCCCGCCTCCCCATTCATGTGCGTGTGTGCATGCACAAGTTCTCTCTCTCTGAAATAAATGAATTTAAAAAAAATATATTAAAAAGAAAGAAGACTTAAAAAAATACTTTGACTGAACAACAATGAAAACACAACATCAAAATTTATAGAACAGAAATACAAATGTTCCTGGGAAATTCATATAATTAAATATTTATATTAAACACTACCTAAACCTCTACTTTAAGAAAGTGGAGGGGAAAAAAGAAATAAAATAAATTCAAAGAAAACAAAAGGAAGGAAGCAATATCAATAAAACCAAAATCAATGAAATTGAATGGGGCCTGGCTAGCTCAGTTGTTAAGAGCATGCGATGCTTGATCTTGGGGTCATGATGGTTCAAGCCCCACACTGAAGATAGAGATTACTTTAAAAAAAATCAATAAAATTGGGTGCCTGGCTAGCTCAGTCAGTAGAGCATGTGACTCTTGATCTTGGTGTCATGAGTTCCAGTCCTATGTTGGGTATAGAGATTGCTTAAAAACAAAATATTTTTTAAAAAATCAATAAAATTGAGGGATCCCTGGGTGGCACAGCGGTTTGGCGCCTGCCTTTGGCCCAGGGCGCGATCCTGGAGACCCGGGATCGAATCCCACGTCGGGCTCCCGGTGCATGGAGCCTGCTTCTCCCTCTGCC